TGCCTTCGCGGCCCTGCAAGGAAAGCCTCCTACCCACACTTCTCCGCGGTCAGCTGTACTGCTCTCATCTGCCGACTCCAGATGTCCATGACAATGTGCGGCGCTGTTTCGAGGACATAATTATGATTGTAGCTCAAGCAGCATCATAAAGGACAATGGCAGAGAGCAGAACCGCTGGAAGCCACAGAGGGGTCAGTGAGAGGTCATTCTCTGTTCTCCAGGAATCATATCGAGTCTCTTTGGGAACATCGGGTCTGTGGCCCAGGGCAAAATATGGATCTGTAGCAAGAAAAGCCACAACTTGAATTATTGCTTAAATGATTGTTCTTTTTACATTTGGTCTTCCTCGTTAGAATTCATTCCAGCCTGCAAGTTTCCTTGTGAAAATTCATGTTGTTCCTCCAAAGCCATCTGATGGAATTTTGAATGAGAGGCCCTCTGACAGTTCCGCTGCGAATCATAAGTCCAGAGCACGCGGTTATTAATGCAATGTTTCATAGCCCGTCAGTTATCGAATACAAATTGAGCATCTGGGAGGCGTGTTGTATTTGAATCCTAAACCCTTCCATGCTTAGCAGATGCATCCAAGGACTCTTCCAGTTCTGCTGTGATCTAACTGTGTCCCCTGAAATTCGTGTCTTAGAAACTTAGTCTCCAAAGTCATGTGGTGCTGGTATTTGGCAGTGAGGCTTTGAGGATGTGATTAGGCTTGGGTGAGATCATGGGGTGGGACTTGATGGCATTCGTGGCTTTATGAGACCAGGAGGAGAGACCTGAGCTGGCAGCTTGCCCTCCCCGCCCTGGGAGACCCAGCTCCAGGCTGGGGTGCAGCACGAAGCCCAACCAGCTTCTGCACAGATACTGGCACCGTGCAGACGATTTCCCAGCCTTCAGGATTATGAGCTAAATAAACCTCTATTCTTTAGTAATTACGCAGCCTCGGGTATTTATTAGAGCAAAAGAAAACAAACAAAGGCAAGATCCAGGTGACGAAGCACAATGTCAAATAGCTCAAGTCAAAAATAAGGGCTGGGTGAATTGGAGCACGAGATTCGAAAGTCCTAAGTGAAATAATGGCATCTTGATTCAGTGAAAGGTGTGCATGTGCCCACACGTGTTTATCAAGAGGTCGGGTTTAGTTAGAAATGCAAAGACCGCTTATCATTCAAAAAATCTTCATCTGCTCAGGATAAAAATTCTTAGCCTTATAGAAAGAACTTTCCTATGTAGATGAATGATGTTAATCCATACAGCAACCATTTACTTAATGATGAAATGCTTCATTCAAGTTCAGTGTGGGATGAAAGTGCCACAGTCCTGTCTTATACCCAACATTTCACTGGAGGCCCCAGGCTAGTGAAATAAGAAAGAAAAGGAAATATAAAGCATAATAAGGGCTGGACTAATATAAACAGGGCAGTTTTTAGGAGATCTAGTCATCTTTATGTGGCAAATAAACATGGAGCATTGGTGGAAAAGGGTTAAAACTGAGAGATGGATACAGGTGTCTGGATACAAGATAAACATACGTGATGTCAGAGTGCACTCCTACCTCCCCAACGGCCAGTTAGCCAACTAAAAAGAAAAGGAAAAGGAAAAAAAAAAAGATTATATTCATAATAGCAATAAAACTGCCTTTAAAATCTTGGGATAAAAAAATATATATATATATACTGGACCTTCAGGTAGAAAATTGTAACTTTATTGATAGACATAAAAGAAGACAGATATCCCATGTTCATGGTTAAAAAAATATTCAACACTGTAAACATGTTAATTCTCTTTAATCTGTAAATTAAATATTATTCTAACAAAAATCAAGCAGAGATTTTAAAGAAACTAGGAACATCTATTTTTAACTTTTTGTGGAAAAGGCACCCAGATGAGTAAAACAACGTTGAAAAACGAGATTACAGATGTTTCTCCTCCCAGCCACCAGGGTGTCAACTGGCGCCCTCCCGGGCTCCAGTGTGTCAGGAGCCCCTTCCTGGGGCTCTCCTTATGGTCTTCCAGGCCACATTCATTATTCAAAGGGTGAATTCGGAGCAGCTGCATCTGGAAAAGGCCCGTGTCCCCAGCCTGAGGTCTCAGGCCAGCCTTGTTTTAACATTTCTTGTGAACAGTCCGCTATGCTGCAGCGTGTCCACTCGAGCAGAGATCACTTGGCAGAGCATGTCCTGAAACAGATCCAAACCCTAGCTGGTGCCCTCAGAGGGTCCTGGACCACCTGTCTTCTGCCAGAGCAGGTGGCTGCCCCCAACCCCAAAGTGAGGCTGAAACAAGAGGGACCAGAGCTGTCCCTTGGTGGCAGCAACCACGGTGCTGTTCCCCAGACGCTCATGGGGTCCTGGACGCCCAGCACCAGCAGTCTCCACAGGGCCTCGGCCGCCTCAGCCAGTCCTTTGGAGAGCCCTGCTGACTTGCCCCCGATGCCCCTCTCATCCATCCTCCGCCCTGTGCCAGAGAGAGCTGCATAGGGAGGAAGCAGGCAGGGTAACTCCCTCGCCTCACCTCCCAGGTGATTTTCCGTCTTCCTGGAATGGGATCCAGTCCTTCCCTCCAGGTCAGTCTATTTTCTGTTGCTATAACTGAAGACCACAGACTGGGAAACTCACCACCCAAATTCAGTTTATTTAGCTCCCCGTTCTGTAAGCCCGAGCCTGTGGCTGGCATTGGCTTGGCACCTGGCAGGGTCTTCCCGTTGGGTCATGACAGCAGGAGGCAGCACGTGGAGGGCCGGCCCCTGTCCGAGGAGCCTCCACCACCAGGCCACTCCCACAACCCCGTAGTCCTCTGACCCTCTAACCCATGGCACGAGTCCCCTCCTGACGGTCACCTGTCCAAGCTCCCCAGTGGGTGGGTTTCCAACAGGAGCTTTGGTCGGGACATTCAAACCAGAGGGCTTGGCCCCAGAGGTCCCGAGGCCTTGGCTGTGTCTCTGGCTCTCTGTGGCAATGCTGGCTTCTCACTCGGGTCCCTCCCTGGGCTTTGTCCTGTCTCAGAGCCTTGGACTCACTGTTCCTCAGCTCAGTGTCCCACCCCCCCCTGCTGCTGCTCCTGCCCGTGTGTCCAGCCCTGCTCCAATCCTCAGAGCCTCCCAGACCCCCTTCCTCAGGTAGCCCACCTCGTCACCTCATTTCCTTGTGGTCCTTGTCACTCTCTGAGCTTACTCCCTGAGACACTGCTCACCTGTTTCCCCCTCAAGCATCTAAGCTCATAGAGAGAAGGACCCGCCTGCCAGTCACTCCCTCCATCACTCCCTCCCCTGGGGCCTCACAGGGAACCTGGGAGCCGAGGCCCTCAGGAAACGATCGTTGATCGAATGAGTGATGTTGGCCCTGTGCAGGCAAATAGATCCAAGACACAGCACCCATAGAATCACTTTTCTGTATGTTTTAAACTTCTTGATGTCGTAAACCTTAAAATCACATAAAATAGAATTTAAAGACTAAAGTTTTCTGTACAAAGCAACCTTTTCTCACTGAAGCTTCTAGAAATGGTATCTTCAGACCCAGAGACAGGCAAATATTGGGGACATCTGGGACACACCCCTCCCAAGGCTCTGGTGCCATTGCATGGGAAGGAATGCGCATCTCTGAGCCTGGAGCAGCCCGGGAAGGGCAGCGTCGGCCTGTCCTCGACCCCCACAGCCCAGGAGGAGACTAACCATGCGTCCTCCACGACTCCTCCCATCTCTCCTCTATGAAGAGTGAGGCCTGTACCCCACTTTACCTGGCCTGGCTGTGACCATTTGGTGACTCCAAGTGGCTCATGGCTGTGGCTCAGTGTGTGAATAATGGTCCCTGAACCAGCCTCTTGGCCTTGGCTCAGGCTGTCCCTCTGGTCAGTCCTGCCCTGTTTTCCTGACCTCCTGTTCCCTCCAACCCACACCCACCTGCGGGAGAGCTGCCTCCTCCTCTCCTCATCTCCATGGCACCCGTCCCTGCTCCGTCAGTGAGAGTCAGCCAGGCCCCCTCTCCCAGGGACCGTGCCTTCCTGCAGGGAAGCATCCCCAGCACACAGCCCAACGCCTGTGACAAGGTACACAGCTGGGAGATTCACGATTGGGGGGCACAATGATCCTGAACACTTTGAACAGCAGTCGGGGTGCGTCAGGCCCGTGGGTCTCCTCTCCTGCTGGCTCCCAGTTGCAGTGTGGGATTTCTGGGGCTGGGGTTGACTAGTCCGTTTCTAAGGCCATAAAGTAAACCCTGCCAGTTCCTTTTGTTCCTGGCCTGGGGTGTCCCAGAGCACCACAGCATTCAAGGGTTCCAAAACCAAGCTCTGAGTAGGACGCAGCAGCACACACGGGGAATGTGGGGCTTCGGGGGAGAGGGAAGCGTCTTCAAAGAACAGCAAAGACATCCTGACAACACGTTTCCCCGACTGTCACAAAGTACCTGAGACAATCAACTTCAAAAGAGGAAAGGTTATTTGGGTCACAGTTTCAGAGGGTTCAGTCATGGTCACTTGGCCTGTTGCTTTGGGCCTGTGGCATCGCAGAACATCATGGTGGGAGCATGCGGCCAGAGAGCAGAGGGAGGAAGGGAGGGTCCCAACGTCCACTTCAAGGGTGTACTGCCAGGGACCTGACTTCCTTCCCCCAGGCCCCACCTCCTCCAAGTCCCCCCCATAGTGCCATAGCTGGTGACCAGGCCTTCAAATCAGGGCCTTGGGGAGCATCCAGATCCAAGCTGCAGCCCCATGGACCTAAAGCGTCCAAAGAAAGCAGCAGAAAGACATGAGACTGTGTTGGATCCAGGGCTGGTGGAAGCACAGACTGTCCCCCAGCACCTGGGCACCAATGCTGGCCTTCACCTTGGCCATGCAAGAAGCGAGGCCCAGGAGTGAGGAGGCACCTGGGGACCGAGAGCTTTTGCCGCTTCCCCTCAGCGCCTCTCCCTGGGCCTCAGTTTACTCTCCCGTAAGACGGGGGCACTGGTCTTGGGGACGTTGGTGGTGCCTCCGCCCTGACTCTCTCTGTCCCTCTGTGCCCCTAGGTACTCCTTCCAGGACGAGGAGGACATGTTCATGGTGGTGGACCTGCTGCTGGGGGGGGACCTGCGCTACCACCTGCAGCAGAGCGTGCACTTCACCGAGGGGACCGTGAAGCTCTACATCTGTGAGCTGGCCCTGGCCCTGGAGTACCTGCAGAGGCACCACATCATCCACAGGTGACCGGCTGCTGGCGGGAGTCTGGGCTGGAGCGTGGGAGGGGTCGCGGTCTGCAGGAACCATGGGCGGGCTCTACCCCTCACTTTAGTTAGAAGTGGCTGCCACTGAGGAGGAGAGAAAGCACCGCGGCTTGATCTGAGCTGCACATTCTCTACAGACCAAAGCCCACCCTACGGCCCGGTTGAGGTGGACCCTGCCTGCTGCCTGCACAACAGCTCCGTGCCCACTGCTGGAAGGGCACGGGGGTTCGTGGTTGGTTGGCCTCAGCTTCTCTGCTCCAGGGTGTCTTGGGGAGAACGGGAGGTTCTGTCCCTCCTTCCCGGGCTGGCAGGGTCACTGTGGCATTATTCTACTGAGTTGGGAGCAGGAGGCGGTCTGCCTTTTTCCTCTCCATGCTTTGAAGTCAGTGCTGGGCTTAGGGAGGGTCCCTTCACCTTGGAAAGCTGGTTCTGAGCTTTGGATAAACTCTGAGTGTCTGCTGCCTCCCTGGGGACCTCGCCTCTCCCTGGCAGCACCACACTGCCAAGGTGAGCCAAGCCAGTTTGTCTGCAGATGCAGAAACGCCAGGAGAGACTGGGAAGCAGCGGTTTCCTAGGTGGGGAGCCTTCAGCCCACGGGCAGGTGGGGCTCCAGGTGTGCAGCTGGGCTCTGGCCCTGGGCCCGTCTGCTCCTAACTTGAGTGATTTGGGAAGACTCAGGGGACAAGGACTTGAACTTCTGGTGAAGAAGACAGATGAAACACACACACCCCCGACACTTTCTCCCTCCCAAAGTCCCAATGCAATGACAGAAATAAATGATGTTTAAATTCGTAAGGATGGGGACACTGAATAGACATTGTAGCACACATGAGGGCACTGGAGAGAAGGCGGAGAGCGATAGATGACTCGGACACCAGAAACTGGGTGTTAAGTTGTCCTTAGGGGGAGCCAAGACTGGTAACACCTCAGAATCCCCTGGAGTTTCCAGGATGGGCAGCAGATGCTATGGAGGGCGGGGAGGGGGAGAAAACAGGCCACGGCCCGGGAACTGGTGGAACCCCTGGTCTCGAGCACCCCAGCCCCTCCCCACAGCATCACTAGATGGCTGCCCCTCGCGGCCCTGGCAGGAGGCTGAGGGCCAGTCCCCTAAAGAGAGTGACGGAGGGTCAGGTTGGGTGCTCTAAAAACAGCAAGACTACCTAAACATGTCCATGCCAGATGCCGAGATGGCCGCCTCCTCATTCCTACTGGGGTCTGACAGTGATGGCTATGGGCCTCATCCCCAGCAGGAAGCTCAAATGGTTTCCCTGGCAATGTGACTAAGCCAAGAGGAGAGCAACTGTGACGTCACAGGTGGCCCGGGGCACCTTGGAGTGGAGCTGGAAGTCCCCGCTCATTATCAGCTCCCAGCTAGGGCTGAGAGGTCTGGGATATCAGACATCCAGGGAATCCTCTGACATGAGCATCAAGACCCAAACAAACCGGAGAACTAGGAATACCTGGAGGCTCTGAAGCATCCAAATAACTAGGATCAGTATTTTTCAGAGGGATAAGAGAGTGTTTTGCAAGAATAAAACAGGAAAAGGCATTTTTTAAAAAAAAATACAAGAACGTTGGAGCTCTTGCAAATTATATGTGTGAAAACAGAAGCTATGTTGGAAAACAAAGTCTTTTTAGGGTACTCCCATGAAGTACCCTAAAAAGAAAATATGAGAAAATTAGAGGCCCAGCCCAGAAATTTCAGCATGAGAAAGAGGGAAAACACAGAGGAAGAAATCATTAAGGAAATCATGAAAGAAAACCCCCGAGACCTGAAATACATGAGCCTCCAGGTTCAGAGAACCCCAAGGGCGCAGGGCTGTGGCTGGAGCCCAGCAAGATACTGCTCAGATCTGACAAGTACCGGAGAGGAGAGGCTGAGCTTCAAGGCTGACGGATGGAACGGGTTGCATTTCCTGGAGTCCAGGAGGCGGTGAAGACGTGCCAATCAAGGGCAAAGCCGTGCATTTCCAGACTTCCAGGTCTCCAAGACCCGTGCTTTCCAAACGCCTTCTCTCGAGTACCAGAAAATGAGAAGAAGAAAAATGATCCAGAAAGCTGGAGCCCAGCAAAGAAGAGGGGCGAGGAGGTCCCGGGGATGGAGTGGAAGGGTGTCCACTGTCCCTCAGGGCAGCCCTAGGCCAGCTGTGATTGAGTAGGTCAAAGACCCCAGGAGGGACTTCTTCAGGGAGGACGGAGAGAATTGAGGGCTGCCTCCAGAGGAGAGGTTTTAGCTGGTAAAGAACCTGAAGTTGAAATTAGGGAAAAGCTAATTTTAAAAAGTCAATGATTCAAAGTAAAACAATCACTATTCTTAGGGAGTGAAAATCTAAAGTGGATTTTGTACTGCCTCTGCGTATCATCCAGCTCACTAAATGGGTCATCTGTGTACATAATACCTAATTATAATTACCTGAAAATTGATCCAACTAAAAATACGATACTATTCCTTTGAGAAAATAGGGGACTGGGAAGGATGGGTGTGTGTCTCAAGGACTGGAGAGAAGAAAGGCTGTCAGGCCCTCTCTGTCAACGGAGAGAGCCTGAAATTAAAAAGTGAAAGGACCATACAAATCCATCATGCAGAGAGAAGGAGTTAAATGCCCCAATTACAGCCTGGTGGATGGATGGGGAAGGACAAATGAGGGGAAATGGTAGGGATGGTAGCTGTATTATAGCAAAACTTGCAGAACTATTTGTCTTTGACTATTTGCCTGTGCAATTTTGATACAAATAACAACAATGAAAACAATGAAATAAAGGAGGAGAGGAGGAGGAGGAGAAGGAACAGGAGCACAGCTGTGGGCAGCAGAGAGCTTGTTCTGGGACACGCAGAGGGTCAGCGTGAGGCTGCTTCACCCGACCGTCACCAGCTTGGCACGAGGCGCCGTGGTTCTGGGGTCGGTCGGTGAGCACTGGGCCATTTGGGTCAGAAGGGTGCCAGGGCACTGTATGCTCCTGTGGCTGGGTTCACTGAAGGCCCAAGAGGAGCGAGCTCTTCACCCATCTGGTAACGGTCCTTTGTGAACTACCACAGCCATCCCTGCACTCTGCACTAAATGACCCACGTCCCCAAGTTCCCTGAGATACAGAATCATACAGACATTTTCGAGGCTGATGCCAGCTTCCCAGAGCAGAGGCCAGGATGGACCAGCAGAAAGGGGACTGTCCCATTGGAGCACAGCTGGCTGGAGCCATTTCCTTTTGGCAATGTTTTAAACTCACTCTCAAAGACACTTCTCCCGTGGGGGTCACCTGCCCTTTGATTTCAGACACACCCCAGAGAAGGGACTGTTCAGTAATCTAAAGAATGCTTTGAGTCCTTAAGTAAATGTGTGACATGAGTGTCAACTTGACTGGGCTAAGGGGTGCCCACGAAACATTATTTGGGGATGTCTGGGAGCGGGTTTCCAGAGGAGATCAGCATCTCAACAGGTGAGCTGGGGAGAGCAAGAGGCCCTCCCCACTGTGGCCAGGCATCCCCCAGCACCCACCCCCAGGGCCTGGAAGAGCATGGAGGGGGCAGAGGAATTCACCTCCCATGGGGAGCCTAGATGCCACCCCTCCTGTCCTCAGGATGCTGCTGCGGGATCTTGGCTGAGGCTCAGGCTGCATCTGTGTGCCCAGCCTCCCAACTCTCAGGCTTTGGTCTTGCAGTCACACGCTGGCTGACCTGGGCCTCCAGTGTCACACAGAGGACTGAGTCATCAGCCCCCACATATCTAGGTACGTCTTGTTGGTCCTGCTTCTCTGGAGAACCCTGACTGTGCAGCTGAATTACCTTACCCAGTCTAGATTAGAGACTTGGCAGAGATTAGTCATCTCTCCCCTCCCACATGGTTCATAAATCCCTTTTCCAATGTGTACAGATTCAAAATTATGTGAGTCTGTTCATGCTCTGCATAGGGATGAATGGCAATGCTGTGGGGTGTTTTGCATTAATTCAACAGCTGAATTGATAAACCCCCCACTGCATATGTGCCTGATGCTTTCAAGGCCCGTACTTTATATCCACAGACAAATGTGGCTTGATTGACAGTGGGCACACTCGGGAGTGGGAGAACCACTCCATAAGTGCACATGTGGGCTGGACGGCTGCTTTAGTCAGCTTCTTCAGTGCTGTGACCAAAACACCTGACAAGAACAATTTTGAAGGAGGAATAGTTTATTCTGAGGCTCACAGTTTTAGACGTCTCAGCCCATAGGAGGCTGGCTCCATTCCTCAGGGCTCAAGGCAGAAGATCAAGGTGGAAGTGTGTGGTGGAGAGAAGCAGCCCGGGACATGACCAGAAAGCAGCAGAGAGACGGAGCACAGCGCACCATTTATAAACCTCAAAGGGACTCCCACCTCCTCCAGCCACACCCCACCCGCCTTCACTCACCACTGGGGGTTAGTTTCACTGACTGGGTTGAGGCTCTCATTACCCAATCCTTTCACCTCTGAACTTTCTTGCATTGTCTCACACATGAGCTTTTGGGGACCCCCCTCATATGTAAACCATAACAGTGGCCATGGGTTTCTGTCTTCCATCTTGGTGGACGTGGGTGAGTTACTTAACTCCATCAACTTAGCTCTTTGGACCTCAGTTTTATAATCTGTAAAATGGCCTCTTGGCATGGACTTCACTGGGCTATTATGCAAATTCCATGAGAAAATGTTCACAAGGAACGTAGTTGTCTTGGCTTCTTTTCGAAAGCTCACTCTTCTCTTCTTTGGAGGACCTGACTTTGAACCCAGGAGTTCCATCTGACCTGTGATGTGGGTCTTCAAAAAAATAGGAGGTATTTTAGGGTGGAGCCTGGTGAGTGTGGTAGTGTTCAAGCAGGAAAATACGACCGTGGTTCAAAATAAGACATTGTCTTCAAATAATGGGATCTGCTCTCTGAGGCATCTGAAGTGTCTCCTGGTTTTTTCAGCATCTATCTGGTCCAAGCAGAGTGAGCCCCTGGGGGCAGTAAATAATGCTGAGATGCTGCCC